CTCTCTCTCTCTCTCTCTCTCTCTATCTCTCTCTCTCTCTCTCTCTAAATAGTTCAGATAGTTTCTGTGGGGGTTAAAGGTTTAGAGGCGGAGCTCAAACACACTCCACATGCAGCCTAGATCTCTCCACTAGCTTGCTAAGGCTATTCTACACTGAGTTACACTTTATTTTAAGGTGTCACTGTTACAGTGTAATTATATATTTCAGTACATACATAAAAATGCTCTGTTCTTACTTAGTATTGTTGTCTTATTTCCAGTCCAAATCTCTAAAATATTATCATTTTTTCTTCCTTTTGCCAGTGGCAGTGTTTTGTTTATTTTTGTATAGTTTTATTTATTTATTTATTTTTCGAGTTGAGCCATTTTATTTTCTCTACATCACGGACACTTTATACCACATCCTAGAAGCCTGCTATTTAATATTTTACTTTAAAAAATATATAATAACGTGAAATATTACTTAAAAACTATAATTATATTTTCATATATCGCATATATTATACTAGAAGCCCGCTGAAAAGCGATTTATTAACATATGGTAATATTAATTAACTACATGTAGGCCTACTTACTATATTTTTATCGATTAGGGTTTGGTTGAGGGTTAGTTGCATGTAATTATGCATAATTTACTGTTATTACTATGGTAAGTGCATGTAACATATGTAACAAGGACACTGTAAAATAAAGTATACTGTCTATAACACTTGTATTTAGGCTACTAGTAATTACATTTAAAGTACTTTACTTAAAAAAAAATATAATAACGTGAAATATTACTTAAAAACTATAATCATATTTTCATATATTGCATATATTATTGTAGTATAGAATAATGTACAACATACATATACTATAATATACATACTATTATGCTTGATCACATTGGATATATAAATCATAATTTATAAAAAAATTATTTGAACAAACACTATGTAAAACGTAAAACATGTTTTATATATATATATACACTCACCTAAAGGATTATTAGGAACACCCGTTCAATTTCTCATTAATGCAATTATCTAATCAACCAATCACATGGCAGTTGCTTCAATGCATTTAGGGGTGTGGTCCTGGTCAAGACAATCTCCTGAACTCCAAACTGAATGTCAGAATGGGAAAGAAAGGCGATTTAAGCAATTTTGAGCGTGGCATGGTTGTTGGTGCCAGACGGGCCGGTCCGAGTATTTCACAATCTGCTCAGTTACTGGGATTTTCACGCACAACCATTTCTAGGGTTTACAAAGAATGGTGTGAAAAGGGAAAAACATCCAGTATGCGGCAGTCCTGTGGGCGAAAATGCCTTGTTGATGCTAGAGGTCAGAGGAGAATGGGCCGACTGATTCAAGCTGATAGAAGAGCAACTTTGACTGAAATAACCACTCGTTACAACCGAGGTATGCAGCAAAGCATTTGTGAAGCCACAACACGCACAACCTTGAGGCGGATGGGCTACAACAGCAGAAGACCCCACCGGGTACCACTCATCTCCACTACAAATAGGAAAAAGAGGCTACAATTAGCAAGAGCTCACCAAAATTGAACAGTTGAAGACTGGAAAAATGTTGCCTGGTCTGATGAGTCTCGATTTCTGTTGAGACATTCAGATGTTAGAGTCAGAATTTGGCGTAAACAGAATGAGAACATGGAACCATCTTGCCTTGTTACCACTGTGCAGGCTGGTGGTGGTGGTGTAATGGTGTGGGGGATGTTTTCCTGGCACACTTTAGGCCCCTTAGTGCCAATTGGGCATCGTTTAAATGCCACGGCCTACCTGAGCATTGTTTCTGACCATGTCCATCCCTTTATGGCCACCATGTACCCATCCTCTGATGGCTACTTCCAGCAGGATAATGCACCATATCACAAAGCTCGAATCATTTCAAATTGGTTTCTTGAACATGACAATGAGTTCACTGTACTAAAATGGCCCCCACAGTCACCAGATCTCAACCCAATAGAGCATCTTTGGGATGTGGTGGAACGGGAGCTTCGTGCCCTGGATGTGCATCCCACAAATCTCCAGCAACTGCAAGATGCTATCCTATCAATATGGGCCAACATTTCTAAAGAATGCTTTCAGCACCTTGTTGAATCAATGCCACGTAGAATTAAGGCAGTTCTGTAGGCGAAAGGGGGTCAAACACAGTATTAGTATGGTGTTCCTAATAATCCTTTAGGTGAGTGTGTGTATATATATATATAAGAACTAAGTACAAATATATAGGCTAATAAAAGTTATCTATATAATACATTTTTATTTATTATATTTAAAAATGTAAAGAATATAGAGTGACTCAGTTTACCTGAATTAACCTATTCTGTATAAAAATAAGATATTATATCATCCTTCATTAGATTAAAAATAACCTGACTGTCATGAATTGTTTTTGTAGATTTCTATTTGAATCTTCATAAACTTCTGATTAGTTTATATATATATATATATATATATGAATGTCTATATTACTGTAAAAATTATATTGCTTTAACTCGTCAAAATAAGTTAAGCAATTAGCAAAAAAAAATTATATATATTTTTATAGTTATTCAAACTCATTTTTTAAAGTCAGTTGAATGTCATTTAAAAAAAAAAAAAAAAAATTTTTAAATTCATAATAAAGTTATTAAGCCCGATATTCTTAGAGCCGTCAAGAAATCCGTATTAATTTATGACCCTGCAGTCACACATGTGTTTATATGATAACGATCAGGCCTGTTTAAACAGACGCGTTCACACTAATAGCCTGATTATGTCTCAATAGGATAATCATAATCATCACACACTGGATTATATATCCATCCGCTCCTCGGGGGAAAGCGATTCGCTCGCTCACTCTCATTCATATTCATATTCATCTTCATCTGCGGGTTATGAGCGAGTCGAAGCACGTCTGGAATGAGGAGTCTTTATCTGACCGGTAAATCTCAGATCCTGTGAAACTGACTCATGTTTTATAGAATCCCTTATTTATAATCACACAACAATAAATGCAATCATACATTTATCAATGTTCTGTATCTGAACAACAGCTCAAACTGAAAACATGTCCGTCACTTGACATCAAATAAATGTTTAATTAAATCAAATATAAATAATGTTTGCAAAGATTGATAAATACTGAAACAAATGTTACCAAAATGACTAATTTTTTACCTTTAATTTTCATATTTTTCATATTTTACACACATTTTGTTTATTTCTATTTGAATCTTCATAAACTTCTGATTAGTTTATATATATATATATATGAATGTACCGTATATATTACTGTAAAAATATATTTGATCAATAAGTTACAACAACATACACTCACCGGCCACTTTATTAGGTACCCCATGCTAGTAACGGGTTGGACCCCCTTTTGCCTTCAGAACTGCCTCAATTCTTCGTGGCATAGATTCAACAAGGTGCTGGAAGCATTCCTCAGGGAGTTTGGTCCATATTGACATGATGGCATCACACAGTTGCCGCAGATTTGTCGGCTGCACATCCATGATGCGAATCTCCCGTTCCACCACATCCCAAAGATGCTCTATTGGGTTGAGATCTGGTGACTGTGGAGGCCATTTTAGTACAGTGAACTCATTGTCATGTTCAAGAAACCAATTTGAAATGATTAGAGCTTTGTGACATGGTGGAAGTAGCCATCAGAGGATGGGTACATGGTGGCCATAAAGGGATGGACATGGTCAGAAACAATGCTCAGGTAGGCCGTGGCATTTAAACGATGCCCAATTGGCACTAAGGGGCCTAAAGTGTGCCAGGAAAACATCCCCCACACCATTACACCGCCACCACCAGCCTGCACAGTGGTAACAAGGCATGATGGTTCCATGTTCTCATTCTGTTTACGCCAAATTCTGACTCTAACATCTGAATGTCTCAACAGAAATCGAGACTCATCAGACCAGGCAACATTTTTCCAGTCTTCAACTGTTCAATTTTGGTGAGCTCTTGCAAATTGTAGCCTCTTTTTCCTATTTGTAGTGGAGATGAGTGGTACCCGGTGGAGTCTTCTGCTGTTGTAGCCCATCCGCCTCAAGGTTGTGCGTGTTGTGGCTTCACAAATGCTTTGCTGCATACCTCGGTTGTAACGAGTGGTTATTTCAGTCACTGTTGCCCTTCTATCAGCTCGAACCAGTCTGGCCATTCTCCTCTGACCTCTGGCATCAACAAGGCATTTCCGCCCACAGAACTGCCGCTCACTGGATGTTTTTTCTTTTTCGGACCATTCTCTGTAAACCCTAGAGATGGTTGTGCGTGAAAATCCCAGTAGATTAGCAGTTTCTGAAATACTCAGACCAGCCCTTCTGGCACCAACAATCATGCCACGTTCAAAGTCACTCAAATCACCTTTCTTCCCCATACTGATGCTCGGTTTGAACTGCAGGAGATTGTCTTGACCATGTCTACATGCCTAAATGCACTGAGTTGCCGCCATGTGATTGGCTGCTTAGAAATTAAGTGTTAACGAGCAGTTGGACAGGTGTACCTAATAAAGTGGCCGGTGAGTGTATGTTTATACATTGCTTTAACTCGTCAAAATAAGTTAAACAAGTTATTCAAACTCATTTTTTTTAAGTCAGTTGAATGTTATCTATTTTTTCACATATTTTCATGTTGAGTCCAACACAGGTGTTGTTTATGACTTATATAGTCAATCATAATTGATTGTTTATTATTTAGGAATAGAAATACTCAATATACTGAAGGCCTGAACATCAACTCAAAGTTTGGAAATTGTTTCTGTTCAGTAATTCAAACTTCATCTCTTCGTTTTCTGTCATTATATCAGATATGGATCTGCAGATCTGGACTGTCCCATCATGCACTGGGGCGCGCTCCGTGTTCTTCAGGAAGAGTGTTTTTGCAACGGCAGATTGAGGAGGAAGATTATGATGTGCAGTTATGAAATCTGGGACATTTAAAGGAAAACAAGTTTTCCTATAAATAAAAAAACAAGACCCCCCCCCCCCACACACACACTCAC